TTCCTAGGTCTCTGCCCTCCCTCCCTCCCTCGCCTGCGCCGCCCTGCATTCCTTGCGTCGAGGGGCGGCAGCGCGCCGCTCCTCACTCCTCCTCGTTCCCTCCCACAGAGGCTCCACTGCAGACTCTCCACCTGGACGTGTGGGACCCAGCCCGCGTCCGTGGACAGGGCCATGAGCGTTACTTCCTGCTGGTAGTCGACGACTACACGCGTTACACCACGGTCTTCCCCTTGCATCGCAAGGGGGAGGTCCCTGATGTTTTGATCCCCTGGATCAGCGCTGTTCGTCTCCAGCTCCGCGAGCGGTTCCAGTCGGACTTTCCTGTCCTGCGTCTGCACTCTAACAGAGGTGGTGAGTTTACCTCCGACCTCTTGCGAGCCTACTGTGAGGAGCACGGCATCCGCCAGACGTTCACACTTCCGGCCTCTCCGCAGCAGAATGGGGTTGCTGAGCGCCGCATTGGCTTAGTCATGGAGGTCGCTCGTACCTCCATGATCCATGCGGCTGCCCCCCATTTTCTGTGGCCGTTTGCGGTCCGGTACGCCGCGCATCAGCTCAACCTCTGGCCCCGTGTCTCCGTGCCAGAGACTTCGCCCACACTGCGCTGGACGGGGGAGGTTGGCGATGCGTCGCGTTTCCGAGTCTGGGGTGCACGTGCCTTTGTCCGCGATACCACTGCGGACAAGCTCTCCCCTCGCGCCATTCCCTGCGTCTTCCTTGGCTTTGTCCCTGATGCGCCTGGCTGGCAGTTTTACGACCCCGCCTCGCGCCGTGTCTTTCCGTCTCAAGACGTCACCTTTGACGAGTCAGTCCCCTTTTACCGTCTCTTTCCTTACCGCACTGCCCCTCGCCCCCCCCCCGCCGCTCTTTCTCGCTCCAGGTCCTCCCCAGGTAGACCCCCTCCCCGCGCCAGGTCCTACTCCTTCAGGTGTTTCTCAGGTAGACCCTCCCGTGCCTGCGCCTGTTGAGGTCACTGGTGACTCAGGTCCTGCTGGGGGTGGTCCTGCTCGGGGTGTTGTCTCTGGGGGTGCTGAGCCTGGGGGTGCGGAGCCTGAGCATGAGGAGCTTGGGGGTGCTGAGCCTGGAGCTACGGAGCCAGGGGGTGCTGAGCCTGAGCATGAGGAGCCTGGAGGTGCTGAGCCTGAGCGTGAGGAGGCTGGAGGTACTACGCCTGGGGGTGCTGCGTCTGGGGGTGCTGAGCCTGAGTGTGAGGAGCCTGGGGGTGCTGAGTCTGGGGGTGCGGCGCCTGAGGGTACTGAGACTGCTGGTGCGTAGTCTCCTTGGAGAGGCCGCCTTCGTCTGCGTGCGCCTCTCTCCCCTCAGCAGCTGCACGAGTGGTACGCTAGCCGTCAGGGTCGTGCTGCTGGAGCTCGGGGCTCTGCAGCTGGGAGTGGTGCTGGTATTTTGTCTACAGGAGGTGCTGGAGTCGCTGGTTCCGGAGGTGCTCGTACTGGAGGTACTGGAGCTGCTGGGGCTGGCGGTGCTGGGGCTGGCGGTGCTGAGTCTGGGGGTGCCGCTGCTGGAGACCCTGGGGCTGGAGGTGCCGGTTCTTGGGGTGCTGCTGCTGGTGACGCTGGTACGGGAGGTGCTGGAGCTGGAGGTTCTGGAGCTGCTGGTGATGCTGGTACTGGAGTTGCTGGCGCTGGAGGTTCTGGGGCTGCTGGTGACGCTGGTACTGGAGGTGCTGGCGCTGGAGGTTCTGGAGCTGCTGGTGACACTGGTACTGGAGGTGCTGGCGCTGGAGGTTCTGGAGCTGGTGGTGGTGCTGGCGCTCGAGGAGCTGGAGCTGGAAGTTCTGGAGCTGCTGGAGGTGCTGGAGCTGCTGGTGGCTCTGCGTCCGTCCTCTGCTCCGCAGCGTGTTCCTCTGCCGTCTCCTCCCGCGCCTTCTCTGCCTATCGTTGCTGACCCTGAGTCTGACCGGTTTCGTGCTGAGCACCCTACTGTCATGCGTCTGCTAGCCACTGTTGTCACTGACCCGTCATTTGAGTCTGCTGCTGCGTCTGCCTTCGTCGCTGAGCTTGTTGACTTTGTTGCTGCCAGTCGTCTAGACTACGCCGCTAGTCTTGTTGCTGAGTCTGAGTCTGTGTGTCCTCCGTCCGTCGGGGGTGAGTGTGCTCTTAGCACGGACGTCCTTGAGGACAGGCAGGAGGACCTTGAGTGTCTTGCAGCCGCTGCGCCTCATCTCGTGGCCATGCTGCTTGCCCCTGAGGGAGACCCGGATGCTCCAGACATCCCGACCCCGCGCTCTTACGCTGAGGCGATCGCGGGTAAGTACTCCTCTCAGTGGCAGACAGCCATGGACACAGAGATGGCATCCGGGAAGTCCACAGACAGTTACGTTGACGAGGTTCCCCCTCCTGGGGCGAACATCGTCGATGGCATGTGGATTTTCAGGGTGAAGCGGCCGCCGGGTTCTCCGCCTGTCTTCAAGGCTTGTTACGTTGCTCGAGGTTTCAGTCAGCGAGAGGGAGTTGACTTCTTCCAGATCTTCTCCCCCACCCCGAAGATGACCACTCTTCGGGTGCTGCTGCACGTTGCCGCTCAGCGTGACTACGAGCTTCACTCTCTTAACTTCAGCACAGCTTTCTTATAGGGCAGCCTGCACGAGGAGATCTGGCTGCGCCGCCCGCCTGGCTTCACTGGGTCGTTCCCTCCTGGTACCCAGTGGAGCCTCTGGCGGCCAGTCTACGGTCTCCGCCAGGCACCACGTGAGTGGCACGACACTTGCGGCTCTTGGGTTCGCGCCGTCGACTGCTGACCCGTCGTTGTTTCTGCGCACCGACACTTCGCTGCCGTCGTTCTACATCCTCGTGTACGTCGACGACTTGGTCTTTGCCACTGCTGACACTGAGGCTCTCGCCCTGGTGAAGTCGGAGCTGCAGAAGAGACACACGTGCACTGACATGGGTGAGCTGCGCAGTTACCTTGGCTTGCAGATTACCCGGGACAGAGCACGCCGCACCATAACATTGACTCAGTCAGACATGGTGCAGCAGGTCCTTCAGCGCTTCGGCTTCACCTGGTCCTCGGCACAGGCCACTCCTCTGGCTACAGGTTACTCGCTCTCAGCTCCACCTTCGGACGAGTCCGTAGAGCCGAGTGGTCCTTACCCAGAGCTAGTGGGTTGCCTCATGTACCTGATGATCTGCACTCGTCCTGACCTTGCGTACCCTCTTGGCCTTCTGGCTCGCTACGTGGCTCCTGGTCGGCACCGAAAGGTGCACATGGATGCTGCTAAGAGGGTACTACGCTACTTGTGCACTACATCGGGCATGGGGCTCGTGCTGGGAGGACGGAGCAACATTGTCCTCACTCGGCACTCAGACGCTTCTTGGGTTGACGACTAGGCTACGCAGCGGTCGTCACAAGGTTACACCTTCATCCTTGGCTCTGGTTCAGTTTCTTGGCGTTCTACACGTTCGTCTTCTGTTCTCAGCTCGAGTTGTGAGGCTGAGATCTATGCCACAGCCATGGATGTACAGGAGTTACGCTGGCTCACCTACCTGCTGACCGACTTGGGAGAGCGGCCTCGTTCTCCTCCAGTGCTGTACGTCGACAACAAGGCCACCATTGCCTTGTGTCAGGAGCACAGACTGGAGCACAGAACAAAGCACATCGCTCTGCGTTACTTCCTGGCTCGAGAGTTGCAGCAGCGTGGTCAGCTTCGTCTTGCTCACGTGGCCACTCGGGCCAATACTTCTGATATATTCACCAAGGCACTTCCGTCTGGTGATCATCAGCGTTTCTGCACCCTGTTGGGCCTTGTGCCTACGTTTCCTCACTTGCTGTAGGCTTTGTTTGTACTGTGATATATATATATATATATATACCTGCATGTTTGCTCTTACTAGGTAGAGATCACTGTGCTGTTGTTGTTGCATATATACCTCTGCATGTGAACTGGCCTTGTGGTCCGTTGCTTGTGCTCAGTGTGTGTGGTGACGTTGTGATCCACCCTGAGCTTGCTTTGCTTCTCTTGACTGGTCTTGTGACCCCTTGTTCTCCCCCATTTTGCCTATAGGGGTGTGTCAGATTATATGCATGTTATATATGTGTAGGCTGTAGTGGGGTAGCCAACATAGGGTACAACCCCATTAGGGTTTCATATTTGTACCAAACCCTGATCTAGTCATTCATTCCTGCCTAGACTTCTGACACTTCTCTCTCCGACGCTCTTCCTCTCTCCCCTCGCGCCTTCCTCTCTCCGTCGCCCTTCCTCTCTCACCGTCGCCCTTCCTCTATCTCCGTCGCCCTTCCTCCCTCTCCGTCGCCCTTCCTCTCTCTCCGTCACCCTTCCCCTCTCCCATTGCGCCTTCTCTCTCCTCTGCCCTTCGCCTCGCTATATCGCTTCGCTGCCCGTCAGGGTCCTCGCTAGGATTTGAACCCCCATGATGCGTCAGACAGGCCCTTGCGTGTCTGATACATCAGAAAATTCAAAAGAAATTGTCTGACCAATTAAAATAGAGTTTCTAGCAGGTAGATGCACGTGGGATAACAAGTTGAGTCTGACTTTTCTGGACTGGTCATATTCATTCGAAGTACACATTGGTGTGATTCGGAATTCACTGGTCTCAGCAAAATCGCCCTAACACGGCAAATTCGCCCTGTCAGAGCACAAAATATTCGCCCAATCAGAGCAAATTCGGTCTGACACGGCAGATTCGCGACGTCAGAGCGCAACATGTTCGTCCAATCATAGAAATCTCGTCCTGACACAAGAGATTCGACCTCAGCAGATTCGCTTTGTCAACAGATTCGCCCTGTCAGACCATGTTCTGCGGGAAATCCCCGTACTCTAACATGTTTCGATTTCAGACGAAACATATATTACACTTCTGATGAATCAGATGAATACAAAAAGCCATTTCTACTCAATCATATGAAAAAATAAATCATTCCTTGAAAATCAGATTAAAGCCCGAGTATCACATGGTTTTTGCCACAATTTCGGAACGGCTTTAAACGTATTGACGAAAGGCAAATAAGTTCATTTCGAGAATATGGGCGTGGCGAGAGCGAGATTAGGCAACGAGGACATTCTGTATTCGTCACTCGACATCGGTTGGAGCGTGCGACAAACCAACCCAACCGTATGAGGGAAAACCAAGTGCGTAAGCCCAACCTCACTATTCTTGGGTTAGTATTTTTTGAACAGAAATCATCTCGACAGCGCATCGCAGCATGAAATACGAGGGAACGCATTGTGGTCGCGAGGGTGAGTGAATCCACCTCACCACGCCTACCCATGCACCTCTGAGTGGCTCCTCCCCTTCCCTCATCGAGCTCCTCCCCTCGTCGCGCCTCTGCTCGCCTCGCCGCGCCTCCGCACGCCTCGCTGTGCCTCCTCTCGCCTCGCCGCGCCTCCGCTCGCCGCGACAAGCCTGCGCTCGCCATGCCGCGCCTCCGCTCGCCGCGCCGCGCCCCCGCTCGCCTCGCCGCGCCTCCGTTCGCATCGCCGCGCCTCCGCTCTCGTTTTCCCCCCTGCTTCCCCTCATTTACTCCCCTGGTTGCTCTCGTTTTCCCCCCTGCTTCCCCTCATTTACTCCCCTGCTTGCTCTCGTTTTCCACCCTGCTTCCCCTCATTTACTCCCCTGCTTGCTCTCGTTTTCCCCCGTGCTTCCCCTCATTTACTCCCCTGCTTGCTCTCGTTTTCCCCTCTGCTTCCCCTCATTTTCCCCACTCTTTCCCCCTGCTTCTCCTCAATTCCCCCTCTGTTTCCCCTCGTTTTCCCCCCTGCTTCCCCTCGTTTCCCCCTCTTCTTCCCCTCGTTTTATCTCCCTATCTCCCCGCCCTGCTTCCCCTTTCCCTCGCTTCCCTCTCCCCTTCTTCCCTATCTTCCCTCTTCCCCACCCTCCTTCCTTTGGTATTGTCTTCTTTCCCTCTCACCCTCTTCCTATCTCCTCCTTTCCCTCACCCCCCCTCTTCATATCCCCTTTCCCTCTCATGTCGTCATATTTCCCCCTTTCTCTTCCCCCTTGCTTCCCTCTTCCCCCTCCTCCCTGTCCCCCCTATCTCCCCTCTTCTCATCTCTATCTGTTTGACTTTCTTTCTTGTCCCCCCTCCCAATCCCTCGTATTCTCCCCCTCCCTGGCTGTGGCAGTTGCTACACTGAAGTTTTTTCTGGTACTTCAACTTGCCTCAGCCCATCATCCCATCCCATGCCATGCTCGTAGAATAACAGTTCCCCTCATGTTTTTTTCAAGGCCTTGAGAAAGGTCAGTCGTATTGCTCCCCTTGATCTTTGCCTACAATCAAAAGGAAGTATTAGGAATATGCCTAAATATTCCCTTCTGACACTCATAGTGTCCATGCATATTGGTAGAATATCTTGCACTGCAAAGGCAATTACTAGTACAAAGTGTGCCTTTGAATTGCATATCTCCAACAGTGATACAGTATCATGCTTGCATAGAAAACACAAGAAACAGGCCGTGGTATGGTGTAAAGCATCGACTAGCTGTGCCTCAGCTAGCAACTGTTGCTCCTCTGCTTCACCACTGAAAAATAGGGGAGTGGAGTAGGCAGAAAGAATTGTGTGAAGGCATATGGGGGAGGTGGTGTGGGCGTCAAGGTAACAACGGCAACGACAAGGGCACATGATGAAAGCATGTATGGTGAGACAGTGATGGGTAAACATGCATGGAAACTAGAGCGGAAGGCGAGGAGTGGGGTTGAAATTGAGGGCATGAAAAGGAAGGGAAGGGTTGAGAAGGGATGGGGAAGGGAAAGGCAGGGCAGGGAGGGAAAGGCAGGGATGGGGAGGGCAGTTGGGAACAGGGCAGAGGGTGGGGGGAAGGAGGGAGGGGGATGGGGGGAAGCAGGGAAGGGGATGGGGGGAAGCAGGGAAGGGGATGGGGGGAAGCACGGAAGGGGATGGGGAGAAGCAGGGAAGGGGATGGGGGGAAGCAGGGAAGGGGATGGGGGGAAGCAGGGAGGGGGATGGAGGGAAGCAGGGAAGGGGATGGGGGGAAGCAGGGAGGGGGATGGGGTGAAGCAGGGAGGGGGATGGAGGGAAGCAGGGAAGGGGATGGGGGGAAGCAGGGAAGGGGATGGGGAGAAGCAGGGAGGGGGATGGGGTGAAGCAGGGAGGGGGATGGAGGGAAGCAGGGAAGGGGATGGGGGGAAGCACGGAAGGGGATGGGGAGAAGCAGGGAAGGGGATGGGGGGAAGCAGGGAAGGGGATGGGGGGAAGCAGGGAGGGGGATGGAGGGAAGCAGGGAAGGGGATGGGGGGAAGCAGGGAGGGGGATGGGGTGAAGCAGGGAGGGGGATGGAGGGAAGCAGGGAAGGGGATGGGGTGAAGCAGGGAGGGGGATGGAGGGAAGCAGGGAAGGGGATGGGGGGAAGCAGGGAGGGGGATGGGGGGAAGCAGGGAGGGGGATGGGGGGAAGCAGGGAGGGGGATGGAGGGAAGCAGGGAAGGGGATGGGGGGAAGCAGGGAAGGGGATGGGGGGAAGCAGGGAAGGGGATGGGGGGAAGCAGGGAGGGGGATGGAGGGAAGCAGGGAAGGGGATGGGGGGAAGCAGGGAGGGGGATGGGGTGAAGCAGGGAGGAGGATGGAGGGAAGCAGGGAAGGGGATGGGGGGAAGCAGGGAAGGGGATGGGGAGAAGCAGGGAGGGGGATGGGGTGAAGCAGGGAGGGGGATGGGGGGAAGCAGGGAAGGGGATGGGGGGAAGCACAGAAGGGGATGGGGAGAAGCAGGGAGGGGGATGGGGGGAAGCAGGGAGGGGGATGGAGGGAAGCAGGGAAGGGGATGGGGGGAAGCAAGGAAGGGGATGGGGGGAAGCAGGGCTGGGGATACGGGGAAAGAACGAGGGGGACAGGGAGATAGGGAGACGGGGTTTGCGAGGGGACGAGCGTGATGGGGGGATGAGAGGACGAGGGGATGAGAGGACGAGGGGATGAGAGGACGGGGGGACGAGACGACGAGGGGGACGAGAGGATAGGGGACAGGGGGATGAGAGGCCGGGGTAATGAGAGGACGGGGGGATTTTTCGCGGGAGGGGAGGGAGGCCGGCGGGAGGGGGGATTCCCGGGCGACAGGGAGGGCGATGGCAGGGGGAGCGTGGGCGACGGTGGGGGGAAGCGTGGGCGACGGTGGGGGGAAGCGTGGGTGACGGTGGGGGGAAGCGTGGGCGACGGTGGGGTTAAGCGTTGGCGACGGTGGGGAAAAGCGTTGGCGACGGTGGGGAAAAGCGTTGGCGACGGTGGGGGGAAGCGTGGGCGACGGGGAGGAAGCGTGGGCGACAGTAAGAGGAAGCGTGGGCGACGGTAAGAGGATGCGTCGGTGACGGTGGGCTGAAGCGGGGGTGACGGTCAGAAGAAGCGTGGGCGATGAGCGTGTGTGAATGTGGGGGAAGGCGTGCGCGACGGTGTGGGGAAGCGTGGGTGCACCCACGGAGCAGGAGGCAGCGCATGCGGCGGTAAGGGGAAGCGTGAGCGACGGTAAAGGGGAAGCATGAGCGACAGTGAGGGAAAGGGTGGGGGGAAGTGTGGGCGTGCGCGTAGGGTACGCAGAAGGCGATAGGGCCAAATGTGATGTTTGAGGAAGGGCGATGTCAGGGCGACCGAGTGAGGAAACACGATACACCGTCGCGTTGTTGTCATACCGATAAGCTACGACTGAAAAATAAGTCGGGGTGTCTATATTGGCTGAGAGAATTGACGGCGGAGGCGGAAGGCTGGGGATACTTTCGCGACGCGTGAGTGTGTGCTTCTTTCTACGCCTGAGACTACTACTCGCTGCAACGACACATGGAGAGAACGTGGCGGTTGCGGTAGAGGAACAAAGTGGCCGCGGCTCGGTTGCAACTAAAGTCGCCAAAGGTCCCTGATTCGTGTCTTTGAACAGAGCGCTTAGGAACGAGAGTGCCCATTTGTGACGGGAGAACTACTACTAGCGTGCCTCGTAATATGCGTGTCCAAGCGTTCCCGATGGTTTTCAAGTTTACTCAAGGTGAACAATGCTTTCCTCTGAGGCCTTTTTCCTGCTGGTTGTTCTAGTTTATCGCTGGCCAATCACGGATCACCTCTGCTGCTTGAACCCGACGGATTGTTCTGAACCAGCTGGTAACATGGTTATTCACGAAATCAACTTCAAGAAAATTGAATTTGAAAAATACGATGTGATACTCGGGCTTTAACTGGAAAAAAACCGTCTGGAAACTAAGACAAACAGACAAAAATGTCTGATGTCGAGGACCCTGCTGCCCGTCGCCTCACTATATCGTTTCGCTGACTTTCGCCTCGCTATATCGTTTCGTTACCCTTCGCCGCGTATCGCCCATCGGCGCTGCCCATCCCCTCGCTATGTCCTCTCTCCCCTCCAACCCCGTCGTCCTTTCCTCTCTCCCCTCCAATCCCGCCGTTCCTTCTATCTCCAGTCTCATCCCGTCGTCCCTCCTCTCGCCCCTCCCCCTCCGTCGTCCCTCCTCTCTCCCCTCCCATCCCGTCGTCCCTCCTCTCTTATCTCCCCTCCCGGCGTTCCTCCTCTCTCCCCTCCCATCTCGACGTCCAACCTCTCTCCCCTCCCATCCCGTCGCCCCCCTTTTCCCCACTCCCTTCTATTCGCCTCCGCTGTCGACCAATCGACCCTCCCGACGCCCTTCCTCTCTCCCCATCGCAATCGTTCTCTCCATTCGCATCACGATTGTCCATGTAATTTTTTCACCTCATACATTTTGTTTAGAATATGTTTGTATGCTTTTATTCTAAGTGCACTGTTCGAAGTGTGCTTACAAGGGCTCGCCATAGCGAGGGATTTGAACCTGGTGGCGAGTCAACGGGCCGCAACCGAGCACAGCGGTTGCGACCCGCGTGGCAGCTCAAGAGTCGAATCGACAGCAGGAGTCATCGTCTACAGTACGCGAAATCGACCTGTGGGGCGCGGCAGGATACCGCGCCCTTGCCGAAGCTGAAAAGTCTCGCCAGTGCGACTGTAACAAGGCAACCCAAGCGACGCAGCGCAACTGTTATACAGTTGCGCCTTGGTAACTGTTTGCCCTATGCGTTTGCTATATAACAGAATGTAATGCCTTGCTCATATTACACAATTCTCAAGCTTGTGTCCGGCCTACCCTCGGCCGCTGCTTTGGCACCACGTTACAAGCCAGGAGAGCTACCTCTGAGTGACCAATAGCCCCGCCGTAGGGACGTCGTTAATTCCTAGAGCTTCCGCTGCGCTCTAGCGACTTCTTATTTCCAACACCTTTTTCTCAACGCCATATTTTTTCACCTCTCTCAGCCTCAAGTCCAAGGATTTTTTCGCAGCTCTGCTAGCTCGTCGAAAAACCTTCACGGTCTTCCAATCCCACCTCGTGCATATGGGTGCGCGTTGGAATTTGCCTGTGTTGGGTTGTGAGTTTTGGTGTAGTAGACTCCTTGAATGAATGCAGCATTGCAACCTTGCGCCAAATTCGCACACATATGTGGGCGTAAGTTGCCACCAATCAGAATGGTGTAAAACATTGAAATGTTGAAAACGCGCAGCTCTTCAACTTTCCAAAACGTAACAAGAGGCGACAAAGTCGGCCTAGGGATGCGAAGCTTTTTTATGGATGTATAGCGCATAATAATTATCTTCCTGACTTGGAAGATTGTTTCCAGTTGAGTAATTGTGGATGAAATATAGAAAGCTGTTGAGCTTTATGCATTTTGATTCTAATAAGGAAGTGGAAAAAAACACTCTAAAACTGCTGATGACTTCAAACCCACAACACAAGTACATTTGTTCTCAAAACTAACATTTTAGGTGGGTACATTTATATTCTCATGTAAACTGTACACGGAAAAGGAAATCGCAGTATACACATAGCTTAGTAGCCACCGAGATTCGATCACCCGACCTCTGGTTTCGATTTTGAAATTCAATCAACTACGACAGAGTAGACGTTCGATAGAGGTGAAAGAATATTTCGATTGTTTGCTTTGTCGACAAAAGACACAACAGCTTAGGGTTTCGTATCTCCTTTCTGCGTTGGGTGCCTTGCAGTTCCAACTTATCCCTGCCTGCTCCAGCGACCTCCTCAACCACTATACTCAGCTACTACTACCTAGGTGAGCATTTTTTCTAGACTTAGTAGAGTAGATTAATTAGTCTTAGTCGCTATCATCTGTTTCAGCCTTTCGATTTAGCAAATAGCTGCTCTTTGTACGTTGCTTTTCTCTTTCTTAATAACATAGGCGCCACTACGTCAGTTTTCCTAACGCACATGCGTCATTCACTCGTAGTTAGGTGAGCTCGTTGTTTACCTATGGAAGTCACATCCATTGTATATCTTATCTTCTTTTCTTCTTTTTATCCTTTTCTTTGTTTCTTTTCTTTTCTTTTCTTTTCTCCTTCTGTTTTTGTCCCCTATGCTACATAGGTATATTTCGAAACCGTGGCTTCGGGACTTCCGCTAGGTAAGCTCCTAACTTGCAACTTAAAATCGTTCGATACGTATGTTTGTTAGGTCGACTTGATTCTAACCTAGGACGACTTAGATCTAAACTAGGTCGGCTTAGATCTTGTTTTAACACATGCTTTTTTTCAAAACCTTAGTTTATTGAACACTCTCTCTATCTCTCGTTCGTTCTCTCTCTCTTTCTCTCTCTCGTTCTTTCTCTCTCGATCTCTCTCGTTCTCTCTCTCTCTCTCTCGTTCGTTCTCTCACTCACGTTCTCTCTCTCTCTCTCTCTCGTTCTCTCTCTCTCTCTCGTTCGTTCTCTCACTCCCATTCTCTCTCTCTCGTTCTTTCTCTCACTCGTTCGTCCTCTTTCGTCGTCCTCTCTCAATCGTCCTCTATCTCTCTCGTCCTCTTTCTCTCGCTCTCGCTCCCGCTCTCCGTTGTTCTCGCTCTCCGTATTCGTTATATTCTCTTCTTCCGTTTGGTGTCTCGTTCCCGTTCATTACTTTCTTTTTATGTCTCGGTACATTCTTCTCTTTGCTATTTGTCAGCTCTAACTCTTCAACACTCACATCATTTATTGTTTCATTTGTTTCTTCGTTGTTTCTCGTCTTTTCATCGCGCCTCATACACTTTTCTGTTTTTTTTTTTGTACCGACTAATTCTTTCCGTTCCTCCTTTCCACTTCTTAAACCCGTTCCTCAAGAGCCTAGCTGGTCAGGAAGGCGATTTCAATCCGGAAAATGTGTATTGGTCACTTATATGATTTATCATATTGCCCTTTTAACCAGACCCTCAGATTGGTTTGAGGGTATGCTGATGGATCAGCGTGCCCCTGCCAACCAGGTGTCCAAATCAGCGTTGGTGGTTTTCTTTATACTGATACTGTCAGTGTAAATTTTTTTCCTAAACTGAACCTGCAGTGTAAAAATGATTTTTTTTGAAAGTGTGTAACACTTTCTAAAAATGTGTATTTTGAAAGTGAAGCTGCTTGTAATGCAGCAATGGCAACGGCGAAGTGCTAGACGCTCTTCGCCAACTATATAGCAGGGGGTGGAGTGTCAAACTTATATGATCTAGCCTGTGTAGATTGTAGCGGGTTAGATACTAAGGGGTACACAATTCTAGGGTTTCATATTTGTATCACTTTCATTCCTTAGTCAATCCATTCTCGTTCTAAGTTCCTCATGGTATCGAGCAGGTTCCCTAGTGGGAACTGTCCTAGGGCCCACCAAGATCGAATTTTTTCTCCTGCCCGGGACGCGCGTTCTCCCCTGCCCGAGGCGCGCCTAGTGTTCTGCCCTTAGCGGCCCCGTCGCGCCCTCCTTAGCGGCCCCGTCGCGTACTCCTTAGCGGCCCCGTCGCGCCCTCCTTAGCGGCCCCGTCGCGTACTCCTTAGCGGCCCCGTCGCGCCCTCCTTAGCGGCCTGTCGCGCCGCCCTTAGCGGCCCTGTCGCCACCTCTGCCGGCCTCGTTGCCGCCCTTGACGGCCCAGTCGCCGCCCCTCCCGGCCTCGTTGCCGCCCTTGACGGCCCCGTCGCCGCCCCTTCCGGCCCCGTCGCCGCCCCTTCCGGCCCCGTCGCCGCCTCCCCCCTTTCAGCGGCCCCGTCGCCGCCCTTTCAGCGGCCCCGTCGCCGCCCTTTCAGCGGCCCCATCGCCGCCCTCTCAGCGGCCCCGTCGCCGCCCTTTCAGCGGCCCCGTCGCCGCCTCTTAGCGGCTTCGTCGCCGCCCTTCAGTGGCCCCGTCGTCGCCCTTTCAGCGGCCCCGTCGCCGCCTCTTAGCGGCTTCGTCGCCGCCCTTCAGCGGCCCCGTCGCCGCCCTTCAGCGGCCCCGTCGCCGCCCCTTTCCGCGGCCCCGTCGCCGCCCTTCAGCGGCCCCGTCGCCGCCCCTTTCCGTGGCCCCGTCGCCGCCCCTTTCCGCGGCCCCGTCGCCGCCCCTACTCGGCCTCGTCGCCGCCCCTTTCGGCGGCCTCGTCGCCGCCCTTCAGCGGCCCCGTCGCCGCTCCTTCGCGGCAGCGACGCCGCCCTTCACGGCCCCGCCGAGCCGCCTTCGTTGCCGAGCCGCTGAGCCGCCGAGCCGCCTTTGCCGCCTTTGCCACCGAGCCGCCGAGCCGCCGAGCCGCCGAGCCGCCGAGCCGCCGAGCCGCCGGGCCGCCGCAACCGAGACGCTGCCGTCCCTGCAGTAGCGGCCCTGTCCCTGCCGGCCTGCCCCGGACCGCCTCACTTGCCTGGTAAGCGCAACGCCTCTGCCACTGCACTGCCCTACTCTGCTGTGCTCACTGCCTGTCTGCTGCTGTCATGGCCACCCCCAGTGTTCTCACCTTTGACGCTGAGGGTCGGGCTGTTGACTTTGAGGTCTGGGTAGATGATCTGCAGCTTTTCCTACAGTGCGATAGGGCAGACGGTCTCTCCCTGTTTGACCTCACTTCTGGTGCCTCTCCTGCCCCTGCTGCTGATGCTGACGCCACTGTTCGCTCACAGTGGGCCACGC